TCCCCCCTTCCCCGGGGGGAGAGTGGTGAGCATTGGAAATGTACGGATCGAGTGACGTCGAGACCACTCGCATCCATTTCGGGCAGGGTGGTGCAGAGAGAGACACCCTGTCCAACGACGACGTACGTCTGTGAGGCACTTTATCCAAACAGACGGACGCCTCGAGGCGCAGGTTTTACACGCGATTACGAGCCGACAAGTTCCCGGTTATCTCGGGATACCTGGGAGAAACCGTCGCCAAGTCGGCCGAATTAACAGAGATCAGCGCGATCACGAAAATAAAGTCGAGAGTCGAGAGAGAAGAATCGGAATGTTAGCTCGCAAATCCCTCGAGCTCGCCGTTTTCGGACTGGAAAGTATGAAAATTCTGCACGAATATTCGGAAAAGTGCAATCGGGACTTTCAGTATGCTCGGAATCACGATCACTTTGAAAAGTTTAACCAAGAGAAGCCAAGAGATTTCGCTCGTTACGTGACTGCGCCACTCGGGCCTACGTTATTTCCGCGAGGTTTCTCCCTCTCGCGTTCGCAATTTTCGCGCTCCTCCTCCGTCAGAAAGTCGAAAGTCGGATAATAATTCCGCGGAGAGCGAGAGATACGACACGACGCCACACTTAGCCATTCCGTTCGACGCGGTGACCTTCGCGGTCGCAAAGCTCTCTCTCTCTTTCTCTCTCTCTCTCTCTCTCTCTCTCTCTCTCTCTCTCTCTCTCTCTCTCAACCCCTCTCTCTCTCAGTCGCCGCTTCGCGTTGCTCCAGAGTGAAGAAGCGTCGTTAAGCGAGAAATTGCCAATCAGAAATCGCACTCCCCGCGCGGCTTTTTCTCCCCGCGGGTGGGAGGAGGGGGACAAATTGCGCGAACGTGTTGCGTTGCGCCGCGTCGCGTAACGCGAGAGCTGATTTTTCCGCGGCCGATCGACGACAATCCGGGATAAAAGCGCGCGCTAGCCCCGCACTTCCATTCGGCAAATGGAGCAACTTGGTCGCGTCCGATTTACCTGTACGCGATCAATTTGATCGTAGAGTTGGTGCGCGGAAGCCTAACGAGTATTCGCCAATCGTTCCTATCGTTAACTTCGTTAACAGAAGCCGTCCAACGCCGAGAACGAAACGCGCGCGAGAGCCGCTTATTGCTGCCGCCGATATTGCATTACGCGCGCATGTGACTTTTCGACATGAAAAATTATAGATCTGTCGTATCGCGCGGTAGAAATTGGCGAAAACGCTCGAGAATACGCCCCGGTGGTCGGCTGCAGGTTACCTTTAAACCCGATTGTCCGTGTGTTTCGTATTGTTTCGAGCGCACGCGCGGAAGCGAACCGAACGCGGAAACCTGAGAAATTATCTCAATTCGCCGCTCCTTTTCACGGGATTCGGTCCCGAAGCCGTCCAAGTTCCGTTAGTTTTAATCTACGACCAAAGTCAATTTGCCATTAGCTTTTCATACGAGAGCCTTCAATAAGATCACTTTCTCGCTTTCTCGTCTAGACTCGCGAGGCTCTTTCCCGAAATGCACAATTTCGGAAGCGACCAAGTGGTGAACGTGACGCTCCGCAAAATGCTCTCTTTCCTTTCCGGAGTCGCGAGTCAACATACCCGGAGGGGGGAGGGGGGGGAGAGGTGGTTCTCGCGGCCCGACTACTTATCGTAATTATAGCCGTTTCAATTCCCGTCCTCGGCGGCTCGAGATTGAGACCGCCGTGAAAACGTCGCGACCGTCAAGCACTCGCGAAAGATCCCGCTTTAGAGAAGCCAGGGCCCTTCATTCGAGCGTGCCTTTCAGCGCAGCGACGTTCCCGTTGCGGCTTTTACACGCGGCTTTAGATCGCGCAATCATCCCCCGCCGCGATGCACCCGAAAGAACGCGCCGCATCTCCGTTGCATCTCGCAGCTATTTCGCATAGCCGCCGCCGCCCCCCCCTCCCCGCCTCTCTTTCTGTCGCAAGTTCCGCGAAAGAGTTTCCGGGCGGCGAGCGAGACGCGCGATTACACGCCGGTGGCTGCCATCGCGGCCATGTATATATTCCTCCACGCGAGTGTACCGCGTGCGGAAATGCACGCATGTCGCGAGCGACGAAACTCACCACGTCTCGCGTCTGCGAAAAATCGCAGAAAAGCGGCGGCGTGTGCGCGCATCTCCTGTGGGATCCTACGCTTCTCTCCTCACCCACCCTCCCGGATCGTTCACATCCTCCCTGCCCACGACGGTACTGGAGTCTCCTCTCTTTCTCTCTCTCTCTCTCTCTCTCTCTCTCTCTCTCTCTCTCACTCTCTCTCACTCTCTCTCCCTCGGGGAGAAAAGATGCGAAAAGAGAAAAAGACAAATCGGTCGGCCCGGCGACTCGCACGAGTGTGTTGTTACTCGGACACGGCAGCGACGCGTTCCCGTTCAACGGTAACGTACGTACAATATTAACGCGGGTTGCCCGCGTTACCGGCCTTACCGTAGGTATACCACTCTCTCTTTCGGCCTTGGTACATTTTTAATTATGTTATCACACAATTGTGTGTATTGCTGTATATATATGTGTATATATATATATATATATATATACATATATACACACATATATATATATATCTCCCGGCTCTCCCTCTGCCTCCCCTGCGCCTCCCGCGGCGAGTCAGGCGGGAGCGTATTTTAATATATCGCTTTCTCCCCCCCATCCCCGCATTCGTCGCCTATTCTCACTTGTCGCTTTTATTCACACCCACCGCGTTCTTCACCTCTGCGACGTTTGCACGAGACGACGTCGCCGCGTCCTCGGAATCCGTCCTCTCTCGTCGGCTGTGCTTCGACATCCATTTGTGCGCGTGCGCGCGCTCGCTCTTCCAGGCGGAACAGAAAATCATGATGACGTCAGAGTGATGAGGAAAATTCATTTTTTCCTTTCATCGAGATTCGGTCGTTTCCTCGTCATTTTGGCGTCATCACAATTTTATGTTCCACCCTGGCCTCGCGCCGGTGTTTGTACATATGTATAGATTTTGTATATAATACGATTTAGCGCAGCACCCCCGAGCAAGAACAAGTAGCGTATTACCGCTCTGTTTTCAGCGACTGCACACACACAATGATATATACCGTGCGCGCGTACATACGGTAAAGTTCCCATGATCGCGCGCGCGCGGATTGGGAATTCGGCCGCTAATTAAATTTATCTATCGCAGCTCGCGGCACCCGGAAAATCCATCTCGCATATTAATTCAATAATGACACATTCCGCCCGATAAACCCGACGCGAGCGGCCCCGGCCGGGCCGTAGTCGTCGCTCTCGCAGAGACGCGAGCTCGTTAGCTCGATTCGACTTTGTTAACGGCTTGTTTAAAGTACGGCTCGTGTAGCTCGGTAACTCTCTCTCTCTCTCTCTCTCTCTCTTTCTCTCTCTCTCCGAGAAAATAAAATCCATTTAAGTTGCGAGCAACGAGAAAGTTTCGTCATCCACCGGTTGCGCGGCGGTTTAATATTGGCTTGGCGCTCTCGCCCGCATCCTTTATTTTTGCAGTATCTCTTTATTATATTTCCGTGCATCTTTCTCGATTTACTTTCTCGAAACAATGCTAGGCCGGCCGAGCAGAGAATGCGCGCGCGTCCGCGTCCGCGTCGAAATATGCGCTCGCGCGAGTTTCGCTCGCGAATACGAATTCGTGTACATATGTATATACACAATGTTTGTCGTGCATGCGCGTAAACACATGCATCTATACTCTCTCTCTCTATCTGTCTATACTCTCTCTCTCTCTCTCTCTTTCTCTCTCTCTTTCTGTTACGTCCCATAGATTTCTTACAGGCCACTTATCAGCGCGTGAACGCCAAGTAATCGTACCCTGCTCTAGCCGGTCATGCGAATTTTTTGATTGCATATACTGTGTTGGTCACCTGCGTGATTATCATTCGTGCTAGCCGCAGTTAGCTTTTTGTTGATATGTATTTTGTACACAGTCACACGTCACCATATTTGTCCGTTCTTCATATTTGTCGGAAGCTCTCTCATTCAGTTATCAGCGCCCTCGCGCCATGAAGTAGCCTAAGACTTCCTGCGCCGTATAATAACGCGCGCGGCGCGCGCAATAAAATAAGCGCGCCACGTGCGCGTGGGAAACGCGAAATCGGTAATGAGTACGGATATATAGCATACTTCCATCGCTCGCTGCCGCCCCTCGAGAAGCGTTTCCTACGCTGCCGTATAATATCGAGCGATCCCTTCCCACTCGACTTCCGAAGCAGTCCGATTAATCAGTTATAATGAGATCGGGCGAACGGACCTTCGGCCGAGTGAATCGGATCTTCGAAAGCTCGTTCTCGCTCTTTAATGCGCCAACGAATTCCCCGATTTTTGCCTCAGCGCGATACCGATGGACGACCTGGCGCGCCTTTCCGCCCTTTCCGGCTCGCCAGGAAACGGATCGAGAGCCGCGACTTTCGAATTCGATTCACTCCCCTTCGGTTTCCCCCTTCTCGCGCCCTTCTCGGTGTGTCTGATTTCCGAGCACGTTCGGCACGAGCCGCTCGCTTCGAAAGTGATGCGGATCAAAATTTCGCGGACGGCGCAATCATGAGGCGCCTCATATTACGCCGACATCGGGGATGGAGAGATGAACTCGCGGGGAGAACACTGCGATTCACTTTTCACATCCGGTAGCAGAGTCGGGAGTAAAGAGGCGCTCCACAAAGTATGACGTGTGCACCACTTTCGAAGGCCAACTGCTCTCTCTCTCTCTCTCTCTCTCTCTCTCTCTCTCTCTCTCTCTCGTCTACTCAATTCTCGATTCGCGAATCTCCCACGCGTACGTACTCACGGCCGCAGCTGCGCTCGAGAGCTTCTCGAGCCCGAAACAGATCGGCTGGAGAATCAGCGCGTGGAAAGTGCGGGGGTAAATATCGCACATGACACACGCGAGAGCAGCTGCGGTTTCCGACACTCGGCCCGACAATGTTCCGATATCTCGCCGAGTCGCCACGACCGATGATGATAATCCTTGATGATCTGATGACGCAGCATGTGACATGAACGTGCACAAGAGATGCGAGGAGAGCGTGCCGAATCTATGCGGATGCGATCACACCGAAAGACGTGGTCGTATACACCTGCACATCACGTGTTCCGGTAGCAAGCTCAACATAGAAGGTACGTATCGCGATTCTCTCTCTCCTCTCTCTCTCTCTCTCTCTCTCTCTCTCTCTCTCTCTCTCTCTCTCTCTCTCTCTCGAGATTTTTTCGTCCGCCGTGCACTCGCACTGAGAAAAGAGAAAAGTATACGATATTTGGAACTATAATGATGTAGTAACTAAATTATAGTCCGAAATATCATATTTATAGCAAGTATTACCATAATATCGGTAATACGATATAGGCATAGTATAATCAACCATATAATATTTTTACTAAGAATTATATGGTAAGTTAAACTAAAATTATGGTTAATGTATGGATACAAATATAAAATGGTAGGTAAAGTAACTCTTTTATATAGTCAATGTTATCAGAATATTTGCTAAATGATGACAGATGTAACTATATGAATATTAACTCTCGCTATATTTGTGAATGAGAAATTACCATATATACGTGGTAAAAGTAACTAAACAATTATTTAAGACAATCATTGACTATATATTTGTGTTTATTCTACTATATTTTGCAGGTTCCACGAACTATAAAAATATGGTTGACGCCAAAATGAACTATAAAATATAGTTGAGATTGTAGTTAATTCAACTATATTCTTCTATCAGTGCGGGGTTATCGAACGTCGTCTGCATTTTCCACTTTGCGAAATTACTTTCATCTTGCTCGGACTTTGTTGCAAACTGTCGCGTGTCGACAACGCTACGTGTCTGAAATAACGGGAGATATAGCCGAATAGATCGCGCGGTCCTGTGCGCGATTTGCGATTTGTACATTTTGTAGCAACGTATATGGTATAGGTATTTTCGTCCGCCGGTAGTCGTGCCAGCTGCATTTTCTCCATTTCGCGACGCGAAAGAAAGGGAGAAGGATTGCGGCGAGAAAATTGAAAATGCAAAATGCATTGCTGCTGCTGCTGCTGCCGCCGCCGCGCCTGTAATAGCCTGCCACGCTGCGGCGCTGCGGGGAGAAAAATGGAGAATTAAATGTCATATCACATTAAACGCACGCAAAAATTGATATTCGCGGGGAAATCTCATTTATATCGCGCGCGACTTGTGCGCATCACCGTTTCGCGGAACGGTGCAAAATATTTCACGCCGACCTTTCTCACAGCAACACAGTTTCTCCGTTCGTATATAGGATGAAATAATATTAAAAAATAATGTATACCACTCGTCGTTAGTTACGACCTCGCGTCTCGATATTGCATTCAAATGTGAAGCACGGCGGGGATGGGGGCGGGGCTTTTAATTCAATTAATGGGCGGTTCGATCGCGTCGCGGTAGGATTTCCGATTTAAATTTCACCGACGTGGCGAGCGCGCGCGCGCGCGCCATCATGGCGAAACGTTTTCGCATGCGAGAGAGCTTTTCGCGGCGTGTTTTTCACGCCGGGGCGAGGTCATTCCGCGATCGGGAAAAGAAAACTCGTTGGCTTTCTTCCTCAAGGCATTGTAAACAGGCTAATTAAGTACGTTCGAGTACGTACGCTCGCTGCAGCGGTGGTAGCAGCGACCCGAATGATCGAAAGTCGACGAGTGGAGACTCCGAGTGTGTGATTGTATGAGACAGCAGGCAGATATATTGAGAGAAACGAACGTTACAGCGTCGCCATATTGATAGCTCGTTAAAGTCTCCTTATCAAGCGGCTTGAGAGACGAATATCGCTACCTTGTTGAATCTAATTAGAATGCCGCTTTTTATGGACTCCAAAGTCCATGGACTGCGAGCATTTAGCAAAGTCATCATCGTCATCGACGCTCTCGCGAAATATCGGAGGTATCGATAAGGTTCGCCGCGAGTGCGCATGCGCACTCATTATCACCGAGGCCACCGTAATAGCGTCTGAATGCCGCGTTACAACCCTGAGAGCGTAATTATCCGCAGCTGGCGAGTAACTCGCCACGCTCGACATATTCGCTCGCCGGCTCTCTCCCTAAATTCGCCGTGGCTTGTGAGTACATTAAATTTTCTATGGCCCTCTTGTGAAATCGGTTTACGGCGAGTGGGGCCGGCGCGAACTCTCTCAACCGCGCCCGGCTATCGCGTTCGAATCGTAATAATACTTGTCGCCTCGGTGAATATCGCTTCGTGTTACAAAGACCTTAAAAGCGGATATTCGGCTTGCTGAAACTCTCGGTAACTAACGAGCGAGCGCCGCGCCGCGCGGCCGGCGCGGCGCGGCGCGGCGCGGCCACGACGACTCTCGAAAGAGGCTGTGTGTGTGTTTGTGTTTAAAAGCACGAGAGACGGATGAGAGAATCCGCGTCGCGCGCGCGCGTTCGCCGGATTATATTGCACGCGCAGCGAGATCTATTTTTTCTCGGGGAATTTGCACAACCACCGGACGGACGTGTGATTCTCGAGTCTCGCTCGACGTGCGTCTTCCTCACGTGCGTGCGCTCGGAAAGCCTTCTCGAGTCTTCGAGTAAATTTCCATATCTGAGCGTCGCGCGCTATATAGAGTGTGCGCTATATAGAGCGGCAAAATTTGGGACAGAAGCTGTGGACGGTGTTATCATTCGCGAATGATAGCGGCGCACGGTGGAGTCAGATGACATATTTTGATTGCAAATTCTCTAGAGTTACCTGAATTTCCAACCGATCATCGACACTAATGGATGAGGTTGACTCCGAATAAATCCCAAAGAGATCTGTCTAGCCGAAATTTTGAGGAAATTATCGGTTCAGGGTTTAGGGTTTGTCCGAAAAGTTTCAAGTACAGTGTACTTGGGTTCGAGCCGATGGATACTAAATGCGAAAAGAACTTAATATCACCTGAACCCAGAACTTATAATCACCTTCTAGAAGACTCAGAATTTCATTTGCGGCTCATAATGTTATATACGTTGCTGCTCTTCATGCATCCACGAGCTAAAAAGTTCTCGGATTGATAGATTCCTAGGTTGATGGGCTTAAGACTCCAAATCCCTCGGTTTTGTGCTGAACGGGTCTATATTTGATGTTTTTGTATTTTGGGCGTATGAGTTTTGGGTTAATGAGTTTCTGCTTCAAGATCGACCAATCTCGAGGTGTCTGTTGATTGGTTTCATAGTTTCAATCCGCTGAATACGCTGTTGGATAGAAATAAGTGTCGAATAATGAGCGAATTTCACAAGTTTCTCGCGTTTAACGATGATTTTTCCTCTTTTGGGGCTAGTAATTCGTGAAAAAAATTTCTTTTTAAATATTGACAGGACAGATCTCTTCGGAATTTATTCAGGATCAACCCCTCATCCATTGGTGTCGATGATCGGTTGGAAATTCAGCTCTCCAGAGAATTTTCAACCAAAGAATGTTTGTTATCCGGCCCCACTGCCGTGCGGCGTGCCGTAATCAATTTGCGAAATACCAGCCGCGAGACAGCATCTCGTATCAGCGTATCGCTCTATTTTCATCGGCGGCGCGGCACGATAGGCGCCGCGCGGCGAAATGGCGTGTCGACCGGCCGGGCTGCCACAGGACTCTTATCACCTGTCGATTATCTTGAAAATTAACTTTCTTCGGACTCGTTCGCGGCGTGCCAGCCGCCAGGCTGCCCGCCAGGCAGGATATTACCATCGTCGGTCGTCGAGGTTTAATTAAAATCAACGATAAAATGCGCTTAATACAGCTTTCTGCGCGCGCGCGGCAAACAATGCCCGACTTTTCGCCCTTCAATTAATCGCGTCTCTCGTAGTCATTCACCCTTCTATTAGCCAAAGTATTCTTAATTATTACAAAACCTCGTACCTTCCTCTCTTTCTCTCTTTCCCTCTCGCGGTCATATTCAGCTTTGGCGGCACGGCGAAGATTATGTAAACGAGGCCGGCCAGCAATTTGCGGAAGATCGATACCGGGGTGTTTCGGGACGGAAAGGCAAATAATCGTAGAGGAGAGACAGGTATCGATCGCCGTCGCGAAGAAGAAAGCCGTCGTCGTGTACAAATCGCGCGTCTAATCTGGAGCGTCAGTTTGATGATTCGTGTCCAAAAATATGCGCGGAGCGAAGGCAGGCCGAATGACCCGCGGTATTACAAGGTCTGTAATTAGCAGCTTGCAAAGCGCTGCTTTTTGCGCTCGATGCATCTCGTGGCTCGCTCGCCACTCAAACTCTGCGCTTATCGATACATCGATACGGGGGGGGGTCTCTTCAGGAGAGAGCACGCGGTTTTCACGGGGAGATTCACGCATGTCTTATCACGCACACGCACACGTCGTGCGTCATTGTTCGCCCCGAATTCCCCCCCCGAAACAACTTGGATCCGCTCGTTTGCAGTGCGGGAGGGACGAAATCTCATTCCGATGGATCCGAACGGGCTGTCGGATCCTTACGTTAAGCTGAAGCTCATTCCGGACTCGGACAACGTGAAGAAGAAAACAAAGACAATCAAGTCGTGCTTAAATCCAGAATGGAACGAGACAATCATCTTGTAAGTAATCGCCGCCGCCGCCTCCTCCTAAGGCCCTCCTCGCTGATCCCCCAGAGAGAGTCCGCGCGCCGGACAATTAGATTTTTATTCCTGGGAATTAAACTGTTCCCCCCCCCCCCCGACACGAGCAGCAAAGTGCTTCTTCTCGAGACGCTCTCCTGCGAAGACGCGCGAGCGTCTTCCTGCGGCTGCGTAACCTGAGACGATAGACACATTTCCGTTTATGTTCGCTCTCTTCACCGAGACGAACTACAACCTCGCCCGTGAGGCTGAATATCGATTCCGCAGCGAAGCTGATTTCCGAATCGCGGATCGCACGTCGCAAAACGCATACCACGCCGGAGATTTCGCGTAAACATTTGCCGCGTTCCCCCGTGACCGGCGGCTCGCTTTAAATCTAAATTCGCCCAGCTTGATTTCTCTCGTCGACGGTCGACCGCCGCCGGTCGCAGTGAAATCAATTGCACGGCAATTGCGGGCGAGTTACTTTCTGGATTTTGTGTTTTCCTTTTAAATAAGTCTCTCTCTCTCTCTCTCTCTCTCTCTGATTCTATCAATAACGAAATTCAATCGAGACGTCGTACGAGCGAGGGAGGGGGATATCTCGAGATTGAATTACCGACGATTGGACCTTACCTTTGCTCGTAAGCTAAAACAACGGTTAGCAAATTCTGATTTCTTCTACCAGCGACCTCAAGCCCGAGGATAAAGATAGGCGGCTGTTGATCGAGGTGTGGGATTGGGATCGAACGTCCAGGAATGATTTTATGGGATCCCTGTCCTTCGGCATATCGGAGCTTATCAAAGCGCCCGCGAGCGGCTGGTTCAAGCTGCTCACCCAAGAGGAGGGAGAGTTCTACAATGTACCTGTTCCCGAGGAGGGCGTTGACCTCGCCGAGCTTAAAACCAAAATGCGGGTATTTATTTGTTCATCTGCCGCGGCGTCCCGGCGCCCCGGCGTGATTTATGCGTCCCGTTAAAATGCGAGAGAACGAGAAGAGAAAGCGTGTTATTTACGCTTTTCGATGTGGAACAACGGAGAATTAACGATCGGTTACTTTCCGCTGAGATTTATTTCATCGGAGAAACGCCCTCGGATTAGCGGCCTCGCGGCCGGAATTTCGCGGCGAAGCTCGCTTCCGAGTAACCGCGGTTATTCCGAATAAACGCGGAATGCCGTTTGTTGCACTCGAGATAACAAATGTCCGGGATCCACGAATGTCGTTTTATGCACGCGCTCTCTCACGCGCGTGAACGCTTCCTTCTGGCTTTATTCAGAAAACTTCGGTGACGAAGAAGACACACACGGCCCAGGACAAAGACGTGCCGCACAACATGGGTAAGAGCGATCTGATACGAGCCAGCGACTTCAACTTCCTGATGGTACTCGGCAAGGGCAGCTTCGGCAAGGTGAGTCACTCTCTCGGTGACTGACAAGAAATGTCTTCGGGCATCGAATTCGGCCGTGTCTCGATGGGATCGATTGATTCGCAGGTATTGCTGGCGGAGAGGAAAGGCACCGATGAACTGTACGCCATCAAAATCCTCAAGAAGGATATTATTATCCAGGACGACGACGTGGAGTGCACGATGGTCGAGAAACGCGTGCTCGCGCTCTCGAGCAAGCCGCCCTTCTTGGTGCAGCTGCATTCTTGTTTCCAGACAATGGTACGACTAATGGCTTATTAAGATTGTATGTAAATGCCACTTTTGAAAAGAAATAGAAATTGAACGAGTCACTTGTCGGATGAAATGTGAATAGCTATTCGTTTCATCGCGCAATAACGAAGGAGGGCACCAAAGTTCGATTATTCAAACGTGCTCCGTGTAGAGTAAGCTGCTTATTAAGCGTTTGATTAAATTTTCGCAAAGGGAAATGTCGAACGAGAAGGGTACGTAAGCTCTCTCTCTCTCTCTCTCTCTCTCTCTCTCTCTCTCTCTCTCTCTCTCTCTCTCTCTCTCTCTCTCTCTCTCTCTCTCTCTCTCTCTCTCTCTCTCTCTCTCTCTGTCTCTCTATCTCTATCTCTGTCTCTCTCTCTCTCTCGTGTCCTCGCACGCAAAACGATACGAACCGCGATGAAAGATTAAGCGAACACTTGCTTGCCAACGGCGGCTTACGGGATCCACTTTCTGCTTTCCGCTTCAGGACCGTCTGTACTTCGTGATGGAATACGTGAACGGTGGCGATCTGATGTACCAAATACAGCAATGTGGCAAATTTAAAGAGCCCGTGGCAGTGTGAGTATTTAGCGTCCATGAACGTGCTCCGCTTTAACTTGCGGATCGATATCCTTAACTCTATTAAAGCACCGTGAGACGACGTGGGAACGCGCCGGGACGAGAACTCTTGAGCGATTCACGTTGTCGAACTTTCTCAACACGTTCCGAATACGAAATGAAAACCGATTGTACCCGGGAGACGTGTCTCGAGGCGGACGTTTGCGCACGGCGACGGCGGCGGCGGCGGCAACGACGACGGAGGCCGCGGGTGGCTTCGTCTTCGTCTTCGTCTTCGTCTTCGTCCTCGTCCTCGTCCTCGTCCTCGTCCTCCTCCTTATCCTCGTCGCTTTCGCCGCCGCTGCTGGTGACCTGAATTTTTACTCATTAACCTCGCGACCGTTTGTTCGCGCATTCGATTATTTGATTCCTACAGCGTGCGCGAGTTCTCGCGCGAAATTTGGCGATTGAATCCCCAGTGACTGCGCTATCTTGCAGATTCTATTCGTCCGAGATTGCGATCGGCTTGTTCTATTTGCACTCCCGCGGAATCGTCTATCGCGATCTCAAGCTCGACAACGTCCTACTGGATCAGGACGGCCACATCAAGATTGCGGATTTCGGTATGTGCAAGGAAGGCATCACCGGCGACAAGACCACCAAGACCTTTTGCGGCACACCCGATTATATAGCGCCCGAGGTGAATACTTTACGTAGATCTCGTATGTGCTGAACGTTCTCGATTGCTGTGGCGGATAACACGTGGCATTATTGGGTCTGTGGTCCAGAGTCGATTTTTCCTCGGTAGCAATCCGGAAGAAGACCGTCGAGCTTCAACCTTTGATACTTGGATAACTAAACTTTGTATTAAAATTCTAAGTAAAGTAAAGCCAAGTTTAAATGGAACGACAAATAACGTTATTTATCTTTGGCTCTCTGAAGCTTAGTTCGCGAGAAGTCCTTTATTCAAAATGGCTTATCGTTCTTACCACCTCGATGTTCTCACTAAGAAAAATCAATTCTGAATCTCGCAAGTAGTAATCGGAGCAACCAGGATTTGTGTGTGTGTGTGTATGTGTGTGATTATATTATCCGGTTAGTGCCGAGGTATGAGCTAAAACTCAAGCGCAACTCTGGGACATGCTCACGCTGCTCTTGGTCTTTGCGCAGATTATCTTGTATCAACCCTACGGCAAGTCTGTGGATTGGTGGGCTTACGGCGTATTGCTGTACGAAATGTTAGTGGGTCAGCCGCCGTTCGACGGCGAGGACGAGGACGAATTGTTCTCCGCGATCACGGACCACAATGTCAGTTATCCAAAGAGTCTGTCCAAAGAGGCTAAAGAAGTTTGTAAAGCGGTAAGCTCGTCCTCTGCCGTATTCGCGTCGCTCCTACGGTTTCTCGTGTAATATAGACGAGTTTGCGTTTATCGTAGTTCCTCACGAAGAATCCCAGCAAGAGACTAGGCTGTGGAATGCGCGGCGAGGACGATGTTCGAAGCCACGCTTTCTTCCGACGTATCGACTGGGAGAAGATAGAGAATCGCGAGGTGCAGCCACCCTTCAAGCCAAAGATTGTAAGTATCTGGCCGATGGATATTCTCTCGGATTTATTTAGATTTCGTTTCTCCGAAGGAGAAAGTGAGACAGAGAGGAAAGTATCTTTACGATGATCGTTCATCGTGCGTTTCAGCAACATCGTAAGGACGTGAGCAACTTCGACAAACAGTTCACCTCGGAAAAGACGGATCTGACTCCCACGGATAAGCTGTTCATGATGAACTTGGACCAGACGGAATTTATGGGCTTTTCGTTTCTCAATCCAGAGTTTGTGCAACACGTCTAAGCGAATACTTTCTCAGGCTCGTACCTACTCTCCACTTCATTCCTTGCCATTCATCTTCCTCTTTGTCACTCAGGGCTCTCTCATTTTCCTCTCTCGCTCTCTGTCGAGTTCTTTCTCGTCTCTCTTTACCTCTTTCTCTCACTCTCACTCTGCCTCTCTATCTCTGAATCTCGCTCTAGCAATCTCGTGAAAGTGACAAAAGCGAGAACCTAAGACACCGTCGTTTTTGAATCTCGTTAATAAGAGTTTATGCGAGACTCTTTAATGTATTTCTAAGCAATCGCGTACGATAATCGCGTATGCATCACTACGCTGTAAGGGAGAAGAAAATTGAAGAAGGAAATGGGTGCTGTGAAGATGCGTCGAACAAATCTACGATAGCTGTCGCGAAGGAAGGACGAAGTCGACGGACGGAGAAATAGCGCGCGTAAAAATATTGCGTTTCCTTGCATAGCGGAAAAGAAACAGAAGAAGAAGAGTAAGAGGAAGAGGAAGAAGAAGAAGAAGAAGAAGAAGAAGAAGAAGAAGAAGAAGAAGAAGAAGAAGAAGAAGAAGAAAAAGAAGAAGAAGAAGGGAAAGAAGAAGAAGAAGAAGAAGAAGAAGAAGAAGAAGAAGAAGAAGAAGAAGAAGAAGAAGAAAGTGCGTCGCGACGGGCAAGATGGAAAATTTCAAAATCAATGTCTTCGTTTTCTGCGTATATTATTATGCATTTACTTCAGTAGTCTCTCTACTGTCGCCTTCCAGAGTATATATATAATATATATATATATATATTGGACTAATGAAAAAATGAATATATGATTATATATACATATACATTAAAAAAAATATATATACATACAGTCACAGTATATGCGGTATATATTACATATATACATTTACATGTATATATTTATATACACATATATGTATATATATAATATAATACATATATTATACATTAAATTTCTATCGATATTTCGTTAACGTTGCACTTCTCAGTCAGTTTAATCTTCTTAAGTAGCGAATCTTTAGAGAGCCCGGTCCTTAGACTCTTCGGACTTACGACGGGTTAAGAATTTATTAGTGCTACGTCGAGATCGACTCTCATATATTGACAGACACACATTCAACAACTCAGACATAGACACAAGCATATAGACACACGTACGGATATGCGATCATACTCGTATTCACACAAATACACACGTCTAGTCTCACGAGACGATGTATGATATCTGTTCCTTTCTCCCTTATCTGTTACGGAAGCACGAATCTGAAGTGTCTTTTCTAGTTTTTCTCCGTCGTCCTTCGATGGAAGCGCGGATACGGCTGCAGAAATCGTACCCGATAAATTCGTATAATAGATCAGTAAGTAATGACGGAACGTATCGAAACGCGCCATGTCGGTCGCGGCTGATGTCGATGAAGGGAAGTGAAATCACCGCGCGCGTCGAATAGTGTAGAAATGAGACGGGTCGCATAGACACAATAGTTTTGCGTTTACGCGGAGGATAAAGTCGACAATATAAAAGCGGCGGTGTACACGTTGTAGTTTTACTCACTCTTTGCTGACGCGATATGCGCCACGGGCGCGACATTATCGGACGCAATAATGTTTTACGTGGGACGAATATGCGAGAAAATATCAACACACGACTAATGTACATCTCTCAGACTCTCTGCGATCATGTGACACACGATGTACATATTATTTTTCATCGTATGTTCCCTTGCGATGGGATTTATGATCCTATGTCATAATATATGTTATTACACACTACACACACACACACATATATATATATATATATATACATATATATATATATATATATGTATCGTCATGTCTCGCAAAAAGGAGACAATCGTGCGCAAAAGATGATTTTGCGTTCGCTGACAATCGAAAGGATCAAGGAGATTATCTTGGTCCACTTAGCGCTCTCCTCGCATCCTTTGTAGTTGCACTGATGCGTCTCTCTTCTCGCCGAGTCTTCCTGCTTCGTCTTGTCGAGGAGAGTCCGATAGAAGAGGAACTTAGTACAAGCGAGCATAAGAGAGAAAAAAAGAATACGCCAGAAGAGGCATGCTCGAACTCACGCAATATATTTTTCTCGTCAATCTTGCATTTCTTTCAGTGTGGTTGCGGCGTAATCATTGTAGACGTAGTCGATGGGTTCAACGAGTTTGACACAAGCTTTCCCTTCGGTTTTGTACATCCGCATTGGCAACTCGACGAGCGACTTCTTATTCACGCCAAAATTACAACAAATCGTATAATATTGCCAAAGAGAGAAAAAGTAATGACAGAGAAGTTTTCTTCACTCTGTGAGCGATCAAATCGTCGTATCTTCTTTCTATATCTTCTTCGTCTATCTTGCGAAACTTTCCACGAAGCATATCCATTGAGCGAAAAGACACAGTCGCCGTTTATCGTCGAGTTGCAGTGTATATGTATTAAAATAAAGATTCAAGGACGAGCTCGTATCCTTTTCCTCGTCTCGTGTCAATTTCTATTGCGTAAGCGAACTTTTAAAATCTTTGCCATAATTGAGTCCACCATCATCATTTCATCACGGCGGAATTTGGACTCGCTGTTAGGCATTTTCGTTATATTCGTTTTGTAGGAAACTCGCATCGAATATGACGGGTACGATTGTGTTTCTCCCTCCTTCTCTCTCTCTCCCTCTCTCTCTCTCTCTCTCTTTCTCTTTCTCTTTCTGTGAAAAATTTTAATTGTAATGCACATACATACATGTAGACGGCATCCCGCTGCGATGAAAGGATACGAGTTTACGTGCGTTTCTTTGCAATATGAGGGTATCAGTTATAATTGAGCGTACTCCGATAATAAAAATTCAAAGTAGTTCTTGCCCCCTTTTTTCAATGGGCGATTCAATCTTGTTCTTCGATCGGGCGACTTCGCGCAGTCTTACTGCGAAATCACAAACACACACACACACACACACACACGTCGTTCCAGCTATTCAGTTTCATCGGTGTAATTTTGGAAACTCGTAACTCACGTAGGCCACGAATCTCGGCGGCAGAATTTCATTGTTCCTTTTGTAGTAGTGCGATATGTTATCGATTATAATTATACCGGTCCATTGTATTATACAATTGCGCCGTTATGAGTCTCAAATGTGACGGTAGTTTGACTTCAATTTACTCTCCATCTATCCTCCGTTCTTCGCATTCGTTTTCACGTCTACGGACATTACGATTATACACACACGATTTCTCGCTTATTATCCTCGATATTATATAGCAACTTTAAGTAACGTAATAATAAACCAAGACGAAATCTCTGTATCTGTCACAATGTATACCATTCTCCACGCTCCACGGTCGAAAATCCAATCTACGGTCTCGTTTGTGACCACGATAAGGATATTAAATTGGCGCTTTGTGTTAAATAACGCAGACTTTGAATATTTCTGCAGGGGGTTGCGCGATCTGCGCCCGAAATCTATTTTTGTACTAAAAAAGAAATGAAACTCGAGAGGGGGAGGCCGTGCCGCTTCTCCCTTCTTTTCCTATGAGTCTAGTACAGATCTCTCGTTGTCACGAGCGTGATAATCCTCGTAGCGCTCTTTACTTTGTACACACTATCTATGCGTTGTAAAAAGACACCGTGTAAGAAGGAGTAGCTGATAAGTCGCCGAGATGCATACGAGAATCCGTGAGAAAGAGAGAGTGCGTTATCCACAAGGAATTTTGAAAGGCGCGACTTTGTAACTTCAGGATTTTATTTCGTCTCGATTTAGCCGATTTAGCCAAGTTACAAGTTATTCTCATTCCTTTTTGATGATTCGTATTGTACGGTGGCGTACTTTCACACGATTGTTAATAAGATTCGAAAGTAATACCGTCATCTGTGAGAATTTAACTCTAAACAGTACATTCTCTCGAAAAATTCTTATTCTTGCAAAATTGAGTTTGAATTGGAAACGTTCTCCAGGAATTTTTCTTTAGGAATTTTTCCCCAATGAGAAAGATCTAACGGGATTTTGATTGCAACGCGTGCACGATTCACGTTTCCGCAAACGTGAAGCGCAAACGTGAAAAATCGCAACTCGTACTGTTCAGAGTTAATTGCAGAAAACGCGGTACACCCGCGAAACTCGCGAAACATATCCTTAGCAATCCACTCTCGCTTCTGCGTGACTGATCAGTGGCGAATAACGAAAAGCGGTGAAATCTTGATGAGAAATGTCAAATAAGTGACAGTGAATTTTACAACACTTGTGCTTGTTTTTTTTTCCTTAATAGAGACGTGGCATGTGATTATCACGTGCTTTCGACGCAGCTGCGTCTCTATACTCGATCTGTTTCTCTGTCTCTCTTCCTTTCCTATACTCATTTCCCTTTTAGCTGTCATTCTCTCTTTCTCTCTCCCTCCCTTTCTCTCTCTCTCTCTCTCTCTCTCCCTCTCTCTCTCTCTAAAAATCTTTTTTCTAATCTCGTTCTAGATGTTACGCTTTGACCTTTTTCAAAGGTAAGGGGTAGAATACATTTTTATTGACACGATTTCGGGGACCGAAGCAGCGAGTGCGCGCGTGCTCGTCCGCCGCAGTTCTGAACGGGAAAATTCACACTTACGGAATAACATATTCCTCAACGAGGTGAAAGTAGAGACGAGAAGGTAGATAATACGTTGTTGAAAACAAGATGAGACATTTTTCATTCAGAATCGCGGATTGGAACAATCCGTTCGTGTACGTGATGCATTTGTGGCGATATTGATTGTTTTTGTTTCATGAAATCGGTGAAATATTAGCGGAAAATTGTTACGTTTTTTTCTTTATAAAATTACTCAAAGATAAGTTTCTTTTCTCTTGCAAAGCATTTCTCGGCATTGTGACATGTACATTTATTTTTCTGTAGAGAATTTCAGAGACTCGTTATAACCGCATTCAAGAGTTGCGATTGCTTAAGAGATTTAGAGGTACACAGGTTATCAATTGCCAAGTGCTGCAAATGCGTGTACGTACCGCGCGCGCGTAGTCGCAGAGTGTAGTCTAGCGGTTCACTAGAGCGTTACTTAGTTTTTAAGTTAAACAACAGGAGTAGCAAGCAAAAATGCAAAAACGATAAAAAAAGATAACGAGGAAGAAGATAGGAGATAGTCAGAGGCGTAGTGTATGTATACAAAGGTAATATCAATCGCCGCGTAGTTCTACTCATCCTTTCTCATGCTGTAATTAAATCTATCGTTCTCTCGATTACATGCTCTTATAACACACACACACACACACACCCACACACACACACACGTATTTACACGTACACGCATATTTTTAAGATGTTTTTGTGCATTTATAATGTCGTAATAAAAGTTCCGAATCGTGTCATGAGAAGGTTTGTTAGAGAGACTCTGTGTCTTTACGCGCGAGCAATTTCTCGTCCGTCGAGTATTTACTTCAAACAGGTTGGGATATTTGAAGAAAATGCCGGTCGCGCAGTATACAGTATAAAATAACTGGCAGAATTACCTTACATATGTGACTTTTATCTCCAAATTGACAATCGGCACA